CAAGCGATTCTCCTGCCTCGGCCTCCCAAGTAGTTGGAATTGCAGTCATGTGCCACATTGCCCAGCTAATTTTTGTATTTTTAGTTGAGACAGGATTTCACCATGTTGGCTAGGCTGATCTTGAACTCCTGATGTCGTGATCTTCCTGCTTCAGCCTCTCAAAGTGCTGGGATTACAGGCATGAGTCACCACACCCAGCCCCCTTTTTTTTAAACAGAGTCTCGCTCTCACTCTTACCCTGGCTGGAGTGCAATGACACAATCTCAGCTCACTACAACCTCTGCCTCAAAAGTTCACGCAATTCTCCTGCCTCAGCCTCCCGAGTAGCTGGGACTACAGGTGCACACCACCATGCCCAGCTAATTTTTTGTATTTTTTAGTAGAGACGGGGTTTCACCTTGTGACCAGGATGGTCTCAATCTCTTGACCTCGTGATCCACCCGCCTTGGCCTCCCAAAGTGCTGGGATAATAGGCGTGAGCCACTGCCCCTGGCCTTAATTTTTGTATTTTTAATAGAGACGGGGATTTCACCATGTTGGCCAGGCTGGTCTTGAACTCCTGACCTTAGGTGATCCACCTGCCTCAGCCTCCCAAAGTGCTGGGATTACAGATGTGACCCAAGGCGCTCCGCCAATGATTGTATATCTGTACCATTTGTTGCTGTCACTTCTAGCCCCTTCAAATGTAGGTACTGGGGTTAAGGAGCTGAATTTTTTTTTTTTTTTAAAGACGGGGTTTCACCATGTTGGTCATGCTGGTCTTGAACTCCCAACCTCAGGTGATCTGCCTGCCTTGGCCTCCAAAGTGCCTGGATTATAGGTGTGAGCCACCACGCCCGGCAAGGAGCTGAATTTTACATTTTATTTTAATTAAATTGAAGTAGCTGTATGTATGTAGCTAGTGTATCACAGCCAGCGCAGCCTTAGAGGGCTTTCTAGAATTTGTTTTAACTCACTACCAGGCTACATATACCTAAAGGGCTGATTTGATGCAGGCTCCCCCAATCAACCTTTCATAAACATTTGTGGAATGAGTGAAGGGTCCATGGGGAAAGGGGGCCAAGGACATCAGCAGAGGTTTCCCGGAAGAGGCCATCTGGTTCCAGTGTGAATGCTTGCAGTGTTAGCCCTTTAACCAGTCTCTCTGAGTGCCTGCCAAGAGCATGGCACTGCATAGACTCCTGGGGATGCCAGTTGGATATGAGGTTGTCCCACCTGCTCAGATTTTACAAATAGACTTCTCAAGGACAAATAATTGGTGATAGGGTAGGAATCTGACACGTGGATGAGCACTTTCAGATATATATCCTCCTGACAGTCAAGCACAAAGCGCAATCCCATATAGCTCTGTTCGAAATAGAAAAGGCCTGGGGCTGGGTGCGGTGGCTCATACCTGTAATCCCAGCGCAGCACTTTAGGAGGCCCAGGCGGGTGGATCACCTGAGGTCAGGAGTTTGAGACCAGCCTGACTAACATGGTGAAACCCTATCTCTACTAAAAATACAAAGTTAGCCGGGTATGGTGGTGAATGCCTGTAATGCTAGCTACTCAGGAGGCTGAGGCAGGAGAAGCGCTTGAACCTGGGAGGCAGAGGTTGCAATGAGCTGAGATTATGCCATTGCATTCCAGTCTGGGCAACAAGAGTAAAACTCCGTCTCAAAAACAAAAAACAAGCAATCAAACAAAAAAATAGAAAAAAATTGAATACCATCTAAAAGTTAGGGACCTAATTAAATCATTCTTGCACCATTTATCTGCCCAATGAAATGCTATGAAATCATTAAAAAGAAGGCCGGGCGCAGCGGCTCACACCTGTAATCCCAGCACTTTGGGAGGCTGAGGCGGGTGGCTCTCCTGAGCTCAGGAGGTTGAGACCAGCCTGATCAACAAGGTAAAACGCCATCTCCTAAAAAAAAAAAGGTAACTATACATGCTGCTGTAGAATGATTTCATATCCTTAAATTAAAACAAAACAGGGCCAGGCGTGGTGGCTCATGCTTGTAATCCCAGCACTTTGGGAAGCCCAGGCGGGAGGATCACTTGAGTTTAGGAGTTGGAGACCAGCCTGGGCAACATGGCAAAACCCTGTCTCTACCAAAAATATAAAAATTAGCTGGGCCAGTGGTGCACTCCTGTAAACTCAGCTCAGCTACTTGGGAGGCTACGGTGGGAGCACTGGTTGAGCCCAGGAGGAGGCTTCAGTGAGCCTAGATTGTGTCACTGCACTCCAGCCTGGTCAACGAAGCAAAGCCCTGTTTCTTTCTTTCTTTCTTTTTTTTTTTTTTGAGATGAAGTCTCTGCTCTATCACCCAGCCTGGAGCGTAATGGTGAGATCTCCGATCACCGCAACCTCCGCCTCCTGGATTCAAGCGATTCTCCTGCCTCAGCCTCCCTGAGTAGCTGAGATTACAGGCATGCACGACCAAGCCCAGCTAATTTTTTGTATTTTTTTTTTTTTTTTTTTTTTGAGACGGAGTTTCACTCTTGTTACCCAGGCTGGAGTGCAATGGCGTGACCTCGGCTCACCGCAACCTCCGCCTCCTGGGTTCAGGCAATTCTCCTGCCTCAGCCTCCTGAGTAGCTGGGATTACAGGCACACGCTACCGTGCCCAGATAATTTTTTTTGCATTTTTAGTAGAGACGGGGTTTCACCATGTTGACCAGGATGGTCTCGATCTCTTGACCTCGTGATCCACCCGCCTCAGCCTCCCAAAGTGCTGGCTTGAGCCACTGTGCCCGGCCAATTTTTTGTATTTTTAGTAAATACGGGGTTTCACCATAATGGCCAAGCTAGTTTTGAACTCCTGACCTCAAGTAACCCACCCGCCTCCGCCTCCCAGAGTGCTAGGATTACAGGTGTGCCCCGCCATCACAAGACCCTGTTTCAAAAAAAAAAAAAATTCAGGAGCTATGATAATCATATATGAATAGGAGAACTATGAATATGAGAACAACTTCAATTTCTTAAGAGGATTCTGGTTTCTGAGAGCTCCATCCAGGGTCCGCCTTTCCTTGAGAAGCAGGTCCCTCATTCTACCCAGCCCTGGATATGTCCCAATGGGAGCTGCATCTTCTTTTCTGTATCCTCTCTCTCTTTGGGCACAGAGTTGCTCAATCAACCTTTGATGAATGAAGAATGGACGGGGGTACCTCAGGCAGGATTTGACTGGGCCTTTTGTAAGATTGATGAGGAGGGTCCAGGAAATCACTATTATTGTTTCCAGTACAACTGGCCTGGTGTTTTCCTGTAGGAGAAAGTACATCTCTGGGACAAGCACCTTCACCTTCTCTCTTCCCTCACCTACTCTCCACTTCTCTGGGACAATTAGCCAACACTGGGAGCTCCAGGGTCTCGGCCCTTCCCGCTTTGGTCCAAAATAACCTCCTCCCCTACTTTGAGCAAATGCTTGGAATTCTTTCAACTGGAGGACAAAGCCTTTCATCTGCCAATTACCGATAAAGAGAAAATGCAAATATGGGGGGGGGAAGGTGATTCATCAAGGGCCCAACATTTATTGAGTGGCCACTTAGGACCCGGTGGCAGGGCAGGCATTCTGGGGGAGGCCAAGGGGAACAAACTCCCGGCTGGCCCATTCTTCTGTCACGTTTCGGTTTCCTCGAGGTTTGTAAAGGGAGGGGATTAAATTAGATGACTACCCAGCCCCTTCCCACTCTGACAAGCCAGAACTCCTCATGAGGTGATATATGGACTTAACTGTTTTTACACTAAGGTGGTTACCTGACGCCAGCTTTTGGGGCCACCATAAGGCCACTTGGGGAGAAAAAAAGGGCCTCAGGGAGAAAAATTAATTAGATCAAGCATTCTGTTTTTTTTTTTTTTTTTGCTTTATTTCACTTAATTCACTTTGCATCACTCTCCAAGCTCATATACTCTGCTTTGAACATGTTTATTACATTATGGGGCAGTAGTGAGGCTGGTAAGTTACAAAAAAAAAAAAAAAAAAAGAGCACGTGATGGCCAAGCCAGGCTCCGGTGTGAGCCCTGGCAGCGGCACATATGAGATATGTGATCCTGGGTGAGTGGCTTTGCTTTTTTTAGTCCCAATTTCCTCCTTTGCAAAATAGGAACGAACAAGACTACCTCTTAAAGGGTTCTTGTGAGAAAGATAGGAGCAAATAAAATGGTCCACGGGCTGAAGGCAGAACTCGTAGCAGTCAAACTAAGGGTTACTGATTGGACGCCGCAGAGCCAATGTGGGCGATTTCAGTTTGGAAACAAATTTTGATGTTTCCCAGCCTCATCCTTGCTTAAAAGATTTTTATAGCTAGTGAACATGAATGAAAACAAACTTCAAAGAGCAGCCTTTGGGGGTGGGTGAGAAAGACTACAGAAAGATAGGACTGGAAACTTCTAAGGTGAGGGGGAAGCTCTCTTAGGGTGACCAATGCGATGCTGATAGTGAGTGACATCCTATGTCAGGTGGGGAAGTCCCTCCTCCCCATGTCTATCTGATAGCTTGGGGACTGTACAGGGGAAGAGCAATCAATCATTCAGTCACAATTTCTCTGAGCCTCAGTTGCCCCATCTGCAAAATGACCTGCTCCAACTATCCCACAGTGTTAATGGCAGAAATAAAATGTCAGGCTCAAAGCCTGCTCTCTACAAAGTCCCTTTATACTCGCCCTCTTGCCATGTCATTTTATCATCATCTCTTACCCCCAAGAGCAGGCCTAGCACGGCACTGCAGCTGGGTCTGGAGGAAGGCTTAGGGCCAGATCAGCCTAGTCGACCTGAGCAAGCCTAGTCGACCTGACTTGCTCATTATGGGAGCACATCCCAGGACCAGTGCTGGGGTCGTCACAAACACTAATAAGTGGACAGGGACCTAATGACACCCCTGTATGTACGGAGGATGCCGATACCTCTACTAAGAAGCCCTGTATGATTCACCAAGGGGGCACCAGAGTCCCCCTTACCTATCCCAGAGCACCATGCACCTTTCCACCGACTCTTCTATAAACCGCCAGCAAGGGCTTACCCTTCGCTCCTGTGCGGGCTGCGTTAGGAGGCGCCAGATCCGATTCTTTCCGTCTTTCACTCCTGAGTATCTATCTGCTCCCCTCGCCGAGCGCAAGAGCCTTTAAAAAACGTCCAACTTCTGTTGCAAGGCTGGTCGCCTCGTAAAGGACTCCACAGAGGCGGGCAGAATGAATGAATGAAAGCCCACGTCTTCCGGTCAGCTGCGGTCTGCAAAGGCTCTGGTCTGGCTGTATTTCCTGTACGTGTGTGTGTCCATATCTTTGAGTGCCGGGAGTTTAAAAGTTAGGCAATCCTTAGAGGTATGGAGCTGAGCTAATTTTCTTCTGAGCCCCCAAATGCCTCCTCCATATGGCAGGTCCGCAAATGGGGGGATCTGCAGAGGATCACCCCCCACGAAAAAGACATGCAGCAGCAAAACAAAAAAAGAAAAAAATTATATATACAAAATGCTTTGAATTTGAGTCGGCCACACAGGTAATGTTGGGGGAGGGGTGGATGAAATAAGAGGAAGAGGGGTAGCCCTGGGCCTTGGGGGCAGGGACGGAGGTGGGGGGTCGTTTTTGGGGGTGCCAGGCCCCGGGGGCTTTCACGCCAGCTTGTTCGGCTTGCATTTCCGCGCCTCCCGCTGAGGCCAGCCGTGCAAATCTGCACCTCCCTCCCCGCCCCCTCCTCGTTCCCTCCCTCCCTGCCCCGCCATCTCCGGGATGCGCCCGCCGCCTGCAACTCGGCCCTCCAAAAGTCAGCTCTGCACACAACTCCCGGGCGGCGGCGGCGCCTGCGTGCAGAGGCGCACTCGTGACCCAACAACAAAACAGCGATGCCAGGGCGCTAACGGCGCCCGGTGCTTCCCGGGCTCCCTCCCGCCCCACACCTCCTCGGGCCGCCGCCCCCACTCCCCCAAGTCCCGGCCGAGAGCCCCCCCAACTCGCCCGGCCGCGAGCTCCGAGCGCGATCGGCAACAATGTTTACGTTCCGGGGATTATGACGTCGACGCCTCCCCCCCCACAACTGCTGAAAATGGTTTCCTAGGACTTTGCAAACGGATCTGCCTAAGTGTTGGTGCAAAACTTTGTAGATCTCGGCTCTGGCTTGCTTTATTTATTTATTTTTTGGTTTGTTTTCTTTGGTCTTCCCTCCTTCCTCCCTCGGCCAAAATGCAGGGGGCAGGAGTGTTGACAATTAATTGGTGAACTCTCCTAAAAAAATGGAGGCAGAGAAAGACTCTGGAAGAAGATTGGTGTGTAGCTTTTTTTTTTTTTTTCCCAAATCTGTATCTGGCATATGATAGATTCTTTTTTTTTTTTTTTTTTGGTTGTTTCTCGCTGCCTTTTCTTTCCTTTTCTGTATTTTGCAAGAGGACCGGGAAAAAAAATAATAAATTGCATGCAAAAGGAAGCAAGCTGCTTACTCCAGTCCCTTTTGAGGCTTAGAGTCTCAGACACTTAAGTGGGGAGGTGGTATCGCGGAACGGTGTGGAGGAGGGCTGAGCAGGCTCGGGGTTCGCCCGGAATCTGGGGGGCTGCGGGGCCGGGCGCTGGGCGGTGGAGGGAGGAGGCAGGGGGATGCGGGGAGTGCTGGGGGAGTCTCCTTAGGAAGTGAGTGTGCGCGCGCGCTTGTGGGGAGATGAGGCAGCTGCTGGTGCGTTTTGGGGTCTCCGATCGGAGCTTTGTGGCGGGCCGTCTGCCTCTCCCCCTCCCAAGCCCCGATCTTCCTCCCCCCACCTCCTCTTCTTGCACTGGCGGGTGGACGGCGGGGGCGGCTGGGGTCTCAGCCCTTCCATTTCAGCTTTCCAGCTTCCCCGGTAGCTCGGGGGCGGCTCCAGCTTTAGAAATGCCGCCGGCCCCCGGTTCCGGCTTCCCGGCTCAGCCGCCGCGGCCGCCGGGGCTGCTGTTACCGCCGAGCCGGGCGCCGCAGCGGCTCCTCCTGGGGCCTACATTTACCCCGCCAGCCAGTGTCCGGAGCCCCCTTCCCTGGTTACATAACCAGGCTCCCGGCTGAGTGGGCAAAGCCCAACACATTTCGGGGGCGGAGGGCAGGGGAGGGCCCCCAGATGTCCCTTCAATGGCTTCCAGAGACACAGGAGGGGAGTGCCCGGTGTAGACCGCAGCTGGACCCTTGGGGTGCGGGCCCCTCTCCTTGTCCTGCTTTTCCGCATCTTTGGCAGTTGCGCAAAGTTGCCTGGATTGTAATGGTGGGGTGCAGGGGGCGCGCGGCTTCTGCACCTGTTAGTGCTGGGCCCAGCTTTAGAGGCGACCCCTAGCTCCCCCAATAATGTCCCGGGCTCTCTGGTTTGGGTCCTCGCAGCGCCCGATTGACCGCCAGCGATACGACGAGAACGAGGACTTGTCGGACGTGGAGGAGATCGTCAGCGTCCGCGGCTTCAGCCTGGAGGAGAAGCTTCGCAGTCAGCTGTACCAGGGGGACTTCGTGCACGCCATGGAGGGCAAAGGTGAGGCGCCCCCTCCCCGGCCGCCCTCTGCGCCGCGGGCCGAGCGCACGTGGGGAGGGAGCTGCCGGTGGCTGGGTTCGTATTTCGCGCCCGCGTCCCCCATTCCAGGGGATCCGGTGACGAAACGAGGCCGAGCAATGGGGGGGGTGTGTGGGGTGGGGTGGCGAGAGAGGAGGGCAGGCGGTAAGGGGGGGCCGGGCACGGGCCTAGGCCAGGCCCGCGCCCACCACCAGCCCCAGGGTGGGCAGAGTCAGGGGGTCGGCGGACAGAGGGACCTGAGGATGGACTGGCGGGCCGAGGGAAGGCGGGAGCGTCGCGTCCTCCCCCTCCCCGAGCCGGTTGCGCTCCCTGCGCTGCCAGGGGTGCCCGCCCTGGCTGGAACTGGGTTCGAGGAGCCCCTCGGGCATCGGGTGAGGCCCCCCAGGCCTGAAATCTTCACAACCCCGCGCCGGCTCGGGGCCTGCCAGTGAGGAACTGGTGATGGGGGCGAGGCGGGTGTTTGGGGTGATGTCCCCTTAGGCCTGGGGTCTGCAGAGCCGTGTTTCCCCGTGGGCTCTGCCAGATTGCATCAGGGACCCCGTGCGCCACGAAGCTGTTGACCTGAACCCCGACCTGGGCCCGAGCTGTCTAGCGCCACAGCCTTGACAGGTTGAAGCCGGGAGTTGGGGTCAGGGGGTGACTTCCCTTCAGGCTTCTGGGGGAGATCCCTGTCCCCTGGCAGTTTGAAGTGAGGAAATGGGTCTCCTCCCAGGTCTGAGACTCGGAGAACTGTGTCCCTTGGGGGCCCACCCAATTTACAGCGGAATTTGGGGACGCCTCCAGGGTTTTGGAGTCCTCCTGGGCCTGGGTTTCTTCCTGGCTCTTCTGCTACGGGAATGGTGGGGGTCACCCTCCAGATGTTAAGGTGACATCCTCGCTTGCCTCTGAGGCCTCCAGAGAGAGCCCTGGCCCTCCCAGCCTGCAGCCAGTGTGGCTCCTGGTTAAGGAACCAGGCTTGTCTGCGCGATTGGGGTTTGGAATATGCCCTACCTAGCTTTCCCAGGCCCTTGGCTCATTTTTCCCTCTTAGATCTTTGAATTTCCTTTAAGTTACAAAGTTTCTATCCCGCCCCCCCCCCCCCCCCCCCCACCTCTTGGAAAACCTTGCATCCCTCAGTGAGCTGATAACCCGAGTGCCTGCTTCCCTCCTCCAGGTTCTGGTTGAGTGCCTATGGCTCTGAGGTTAGCCCTGAGAAGAGACTGTCCCAGCTTCGAAGTTTCGCGATTTGTCTTTTGTGCCCATCACCTCCCGGGGCGCTGGGCTCTGGTGCTAAGTGGTAGTTGTTGGGGGAGGGAAGAAGAAATTTCTCCCAGCCTGCCTGGTCCTAGAGCAGGGTGCTAGTCCCAGCTGATTTAAATTTTCTCTGCATAAATGGAATTTTAATTATCCTTTCTTCCCCCATTTTTACTGAGTTGAGTCTTTTGGTGGATCCTACCTGCAAACAATATGCAAACTCTTCCTAGTCATTTGGGAGGAATTCTCAGCCCAGGATTTCAGAGCTTTTTCTCAGGCTCATTTGAGGAAGTTGAAGCTGACCCTGGGGGGATGGGTGCTTTGGGTGGGTGGGTCTGAGGACCGGTATTCCTGCCCCGGAGAGCTAAAGTGTATCCTTAGATCTGCTGTCCCGGCTTCTTTCAAAGGGGAGGGCCCTGGGCTTTGCTCTTTAATTCAGATCTGGCTCCAAAACTTGAGGGAGGAGCTGAGAAACAGGAGCCCTTAGCCTGGAATCAAAATAGACGCTTCTTAAACTTCTCTTCCTTTAAATCCTTAGGAATCCCCATTCACTGTGAGCCCCTGGGGATCTGAGCTGCTGAGGTCAGGGCTTTCCCGGCTTTGGGTTTTGTTCTGTCTCTCTTCGGAGGGGAGTTGTCTTGGCCTCCTCCTCCCCCGAGGCTGCCCTGTGAACTATTTCCCTGAGCTAGCAGCTTCAGTGGCCTGAGGCGGCTTCTGTCTCCCTTCTGACGGTGGGTCCGGTCGGTCGGTCAGAGAGGCCTTCTTCCCTTGTGAATTACTTTAGTTACCTGAAGCTTTGGGGTATGCGAAAATTTATCTCAGGCCCCATCACCTCCATGTTCAGGGGTGTATGTTTGGGTCAGATTCACTGGTTTCAGAATTGGGAAAGGAAGGAAATTAGTCAGCGGCCTCCTTTATCCTCCAGGACTTTGGGTAGGGATATGGGGGCTGCACTAGAAAACCCCAGACATGGAGCGAACCTTGGAATTTTCCTGGGGTCCTTCTATGCTCCCCTTACGCAACCTTCCCCCAGGAGCCTCCCTCCCTGTTATCCAGCTGAAGCAAGGACTGTGATGGCTGCAGCAGAATTTCACTCTTAAGACAACAAAGCTGTGCCCAGTTCCCTAGTTATTTTGGCACCAAATACACAGTTTCCAGGGAAACCAGCTTTTCCCCCCTCCCCTTCTCTAGGCAGGATATTACAATAAGATTTTCAATGATGCTCAGCTACAATGAGGGCCCTCCTCCCAGCCTCCTCTCTGGGCCTTCAGATCCTCCCAGGTGGCATTCTTCAATTTTGCAGTCCCTTTGCTTTCTGAGCGCGGCTTGGGATGCCTGTCTCTGACTGTCCCTCTTTCTCAGCTATGGCTGGGGCTCCTTTTGTGCGAGGCTCTTTGAGTCTTCCTCCTCAACC